TTGTATCTGCCATGCCTTACCCAAATGTTTTGAGTATCCTAGACCATCTGCAAGGGCACAAGTCACCTGCACGTAGGCAACTAGATTAGAGTCCTTCCCAGTCCAATCAATGATTTTGAAGAAGCAGACTAAGTAGGCACACCGTGCATAGACAGATGAATTGCTTTCTGGTTATGTTGAATAGGTATCCATTGGCTGCCACCATAAGCTTAGACACCTAAATTTTGGTGTCTTCATCTGGATCTGATATCTCTCCCCCATCCCTCCAAGCCTCCCAGTAACTCCTGTTTACTAAATGAGGTTTATTTCCTTCCTTCCATCATGTCTGTGGATAAAGTTGCTGAAAAACATTTTTGTTCCTCCAAGGCCACAGGAAATTGTGCTGAATGATCTTTCCACGGGCTTTTTCATACAAGCCAAAGAATGCAATTCCTTTCCTTCCAACTGACTACATTTCTTCTCCTTCTCCTCTCTAATGGCTGAACATTTATTTCATGTAGTTTTATTGTAAGATATGACAGAAAAAAAATTGACAATTCTTGGAATAGGCACTAAAGACTTTTTTAATGCCGCAGGTTGCAAAGAATTACCACAGGTGTTACAAATATTTATGACATTTTTACAAAACTTAAAAAAATATTTACTTTTCATAGAAATGTATGAGTTTCCCCTCTCAAGGCCACCTAAGCAAGGACTGGACTACTGGAATTTTATTAAAATTTCATTTTTTAAAAAAATCAGGATTGTTTTGAGAAAAAATGGTGGTTTACCTGGAAATTTGCATTCTGCAAAGGACTGCCAAACTTAAGTTACTGAAAACCTTACTTTATGGTCTTTATTAGACTCAAACCATGATGCATTAAATGTATATTTCAGCAAAATATGTTAAAGCCCTGAAGGTCTTCATCATCTTTGTTGCCTTTCTCTGGACATGGTCCAGCACTTCAATGTCCTTCTTGAAGTGAGGGGCCTAAAACTGAACTGAGTACTCAAAGTGCAGCCTCAGCAGTGCTGACTACAGCAGGACAATGATTTTTTATACAATGTCTGCAAAAGTCAAGCTAAATTGTTGTTGGTATTGCCCATATTCCTTTCCTGCTGTACGTACAGTTCTGAGTTAAAAAAAGACATTACTTTGCATTTGTACAGTATCTATGCTCATAAATGAGCTGTCCTGCTTAATACCCATCCTTAGAAATGAGACTGATTGGCAGCTGAATAGAGCCTAGATATAGCTGTTTAATAACATTTCAGATGCATTAGGAAATTGAAAATATCCATCCCTGTGGGACTGTCAACTATAATACAGTACATGTGCCCTCCCAGAGCAACAGGATTTCAGGACAACTGGAATACTCAGTATAACACATATTTCATGGGAGGCTATGTAGGTTGTGCACTCAAGCCCAGTGTTTCATCCAGAGGTGAATAGAGGGATGCAGCATTGTTCCAGTGTCTGAAGAGATGTGATTATTCCAGGTGTCATCTGTTGGTCACTTCTAAGCATCGTCCATTCTACATTAATATGGACTAAATAGACCATACAGGTTCCTAGCCTCACTGTGTGGTCACTGAGGAAGACTTTGTGGGCACCTCCATAGTCTTAACAGGTTATGTAAAAGCTTTGAATCTGTTATTCCCATATACACACACATTTATTGGCTTCAAATGTTGCTAGGTACCTTTGTGCATACAAATGACTCGAGTCTATATATCTGCAAGATTAAAGAATGTATTATTGTTCAAATCAAATATTTACTGCTGAGATCTATGTTAGGCTCTAAGGCACGTAAGCAACCTGGACATTTTGATTGTAGCCCAAACTCAGTGGACAGGAATTTGAATGCTCATACCCCATTTTTCTTGTTGAATAGCTTCTCCATACTTGTCATTGTTGCCTAATGGTTTTTCACCACTTATTTGTAGGACATTAAAGAGGTATTATCAGAAAATTCTGAGCATTGTAAGAAAATCTCATTGTCATAAAAAGAAAAATGTAAAATGCTTACTTTTGATATCAAACGTCCATGATTTTAATAACCAGTATAAAAACTATAAAATTACATTCCAACAGAATTGTTTTATTAGTTTAGGATAAGAAATTGCAACACAATCTTAACTTTTGATTAAAACATTTGTGTTTCTATTGCAGATTGCCACAGAAGCAATAGAAAATATTAGAACTGTTGTTAGCTTGACCCGAGAAAGAAAATTTGAGTTGATGTATGGAGAACATTTGATTGTACCATACAGGTATAATAAAAATAACTAAGAAAAAAAAAAATCTGTAATAAATTGCACACATTTACTTCAACAAAAATAGTTGGTTTTTTGATAGTGTGTATGATTTAATGTATAATTTAATTACCTCAGAATTAATGTAAATATTTTGCATATTTTTTTATTAACAAACACAACCACCACCAGCTGACTTTTTTTTAAACTTGATTTAATTAGTTTTCTTTATAATATTGGTATTTTATATTACAATATCACTTGGTTTGGAAAAATGTTAGTTTTGAGTGAGCTTTGGAAGTGATCTAATCTGAATTTCCACCTGAAGTGTTTTTGATATTTAATTAAAAGCTTTTTAATGTAAATTGAATATTACCTTCTGCCATTTTTTAAAGTATTAGAGGGACTGAAAATATTTGAGTAATTGCTTATTGGCTTGTAGCTGAAAAAAAAGTAATATAAATCTGCCTGGACTAAATAAAAATTTTAAAGTCTTAAAGTGAAAAACTAAAAAGATTCTGTCAAAGGAAGTTTTATTTGTTCTAGAAGGGAATGTTTCATTTTCAGATATTCATGAGAAAAGTAAAGGAAATGACAGCATCTGTACACAGATATAACAAGAGACTTGTGAGGATGCCACTAACACATCAACCATAAAAACTGAGTGATTAGAGCACAGTGCAGGACATAGTGCTTAGCTTTTTTCTCAGGCTGATGGCTTTTGAGTTCACATCTCTTAACTTTCCAAACAGTGTCTAAGCCATTCTCAGGGTTGACATTGATGGGATTGCTCCGAGACTTCCATCTTACTGTTGTTCTAGTATAAAAAAGAACTTATTGCCCTATGGGTCAGTTTGTCTGGAAGAGACAGAGATATGTTTTTTAGTTGATGTTTCAGTGTATGTACACTTTCCATTCATAACAGTATCAACTGAAGTCAGTTGGTATTTGCATATTAGAACTTAAGTATGATTGCACACTTTGATGAAAATGTGCATTCTTTCTTACAGAAATTCTGTGAAGAAGGCACATATATTTGGCTTTACTTTTGCCCTTTCACAAGCAATGATGTTCTTTACCTATGCTGGCTGTTTCCGGTTTGGTGCCTATCTAGTGGCAAATGGACACATGGAGTATAAAAGTGTGTTTTTGTGAGTATCACATTTGCAATATTTTTCTGTCTATCCAGAAAAATCCTTTATTATTTAAGAGACAATAACTCAATACAGGGCTGTGTAAACAAGTTTGAAAAGACTGAGATTCTACCAGTATAGATATCAGTGACCTCAATACCCAAGAAGGTCAATCATACCAATTTTTTGTTGGCAACCTAATTGTGGTAAACACAGCTCATTTTGACTGGAAGATGTTGGAAAGTGCCTGCATCCCATCTGCTAGCTGAATGTCTCTAGGCATCTGAGTGAGTGAACTTCCAGTGGCTCAGTCAGACTTGAAAGGGATTGTTTGACCTAAAATTGTGTGAGCTCTCCTAGGCTGTTTAAATGCAGAATAAAACAGATTACTTTATGAGCTCTGAAGAGAAAAGACAAAATTTAAAATAAATGAATCTATTTTACTTTGCTTTAAAAGAGGTCTCATATATCTCATATGTCAAATACCACTTCTCAGTGATGAGTAATCATCATTTGTGTGGCAGTAATTAATAGCTGAAGACAGCAGGTTCTTAAACTATTCTAATGTAGCCTGTAAAATTACATTAAAATCACCACAAAGCAATAATAGCATAGTTTTCAACCCTTTTCAGTATTGTAAATCATGCTAGTTTTTCCATCAGAGCTGTGATACAAAATTAAATCTTTATGGTCACCGTGTTACAGGCTTGATTTCTTATTTTCGTTGATGCCTTAAAAATTGATCACTAACTCCCACAAATCATGGAACCATAGAGAGGAAACCATAGCAACAGCAGGATTAGGGTAACAATTTTGCCATCCATTGACCCTTTCCTTATAGCCCCAGATGAGATTTAATTTACTTAATCAGTACTAATAACTAAAGAAATTAGTGCTAATAAATAATGCAAACACTGAATTTGGAATGCAGACATGCTTATTTCACATCATTGAAAGAGGGTGAAAAGGGAATCTCTGGAGCTAAATGAGTAATTGAAGCAATAATAGTTGGTTACTACTTTTTCTAAATTTAGCCCTCTTTTTTCTCTGAGTGAAAGAAAAAGTTGGCTGCAGCCCCATTTCCATTGTCCTTTTCTCCATTGTCTATCGATTATTTTTTTCCTGATTTCTTTTGTAGAGTGTTTTCAGCTGTTGTATTTGGTGCGATGGCCTTAGGACAAACCAGCTCTTTTGCTCCAGACTATGCTAAAGCCAAGATATCAGCAGCCCACCTGTTTCAGCTGTTTGAAAGAGTGCCCTCAATAGATAGTTACAGCGAGGAAGGAGAGAAGCCCGTAAGTAAGCCATGTGTAATGGGTGATATTTTCTGTCGGTAATATGAACAGCACTCTTCTCACTTCCTTCAAACTGATTTTTCCTCTCCTGATTACATCCTGTTCCCAATGCATT